TATATTAATATAACTTAATTAGTATTTCAGGGAGTCTGTAAAATATTTCTGGAAGTGCAAACAGATTTAGAGAGATGTGTGGACACGAATCCCCACCCGACTGTTAGTTACCGTAAGAAGGCTCCCATAGTCCAGATTATCTCTAAGTTCATCGATACTTACAATATTTATGAAAAATTGCATCACTGCAAAGACCTCGGTCCTGTACACTACACCTTAGGTACTTTTTGTTATAGGTTGTTATATGATCTTAATCTTTATTGCAAGAGTTAGAACATTGTCTTCGAGAGAAAATCAAAAATCCTAAAGGTTGGAAGGTCAGAGTAATAACCCCTTTTAACATACATCAACAAATTATTGTTTACCGACGCGGAGTCTTAAACTCCCAACTTTCCGTTTGGTAGTCTGATATGCACACGCTATCATTTCTTGGGAAAGATGAAAATGAGATATTTTGTGCTGTCATTTTGAAGACTAATACATTATTTACAAAGGTATGTCACTCAAAATTAGTTATAATTTGTCCACTATAATCCTTCTTACTGCAGCGAACATAGGGGAAGTATTAAATCTACATCAGCAACTCACCGTATTTTATTATCTTTGTATTATTCACCCTACTATGGAGGTTATATTAACTTTTTCATTCCGTTAGTAGTTGTTCGAAAATACCCTACAATATATATGCTTGAGTCGATTTAGCGATTTCTGAATCTATTTCCGCCTGTGCGACTGTCTGTGGGTCCGTCACACTATCACGATACCCTTCGAATGAATTGAAAATGCTAGCCAAATTTTCTATTGAATTTGTTTGAAATTCGGTGTTTGTAGTTTTTATACCCTACAACACTTTGTGTTGGGGGTATTATAAGTTTGATTGGGCCAAAAATTATGTAACACCTCGAAATATTTATTTCCCACATAGGAAAGTATATATGGATCTTCCTATCTCGCCGAGCTGAGTCGATCTAGCTATGTATGTCCGTCCGTCCGTCTGTCCGTCTGTCCGTCTGTCCATGTTAATTTGTAATCACTCTACAGGTCGCAATTATGGCCCGATCTTCACGAAATTTAGAATGGAGTTGGGGTTAAGGTCAGAATAGAACCCTATTTCTTTTGGAGATGATCGCACAATATTTAGGAGTCGAAAAGGACCAAAAACTGAAAAAAATCCTGATTTTGCAGTTGCTCTACAGGTCGCAATTATGGACCAATCGACGCGGAAATTAGCATGGGTCTAAATCTTCGGGCTGGGCAGAAGCCTTCCGATTTTGATGGTCATCGGGTAATATTTAGTGGGTGAAAAAGACTATAATATTTGTGATAAATAAAAGTCAAATTTCCATTATACCGCGAATATTTTTAGTCCCGGCGAAATCATAAATGGACGAACAGGTCAATTCTGACCGTTACGTAGATGCCGATAGTAAATATATCGGATATATATAGCGAAATATATACAATATGTATATACAAAGGAAAGGAATGTTAGATGGAATGCTTATATCTCAAGAATGGCTGGACCGATTTTGACAAATTTTGTCAATTCAGAATGCCCTCTTGACATAAAAGTATAAAATCTAAAAAAATAGCATAAAAATAAGTCAAAAATTATCTTAAAATAGATTTTTTAGTATTTTGTGACATTTTTTATTTTTTCATATTTTTTATCGCATGCGATTTTTTCAATTTGACTTATAATATTAAGGTATACATTTTGTAATATTTTTCCACCTTACAACACAGGTTTGGGATATTATATACAGATTGCAATTATCGTCCGATCCTCACGAAAAGGGTAGGGTTAGGCTCAGAAGGGTTAGGCCTATTGTTTTCAAAGATGTCCGCAATATATTTAGGGGTTGAAATGGACCAACAACTAAAAATGTTCCTGATTTTGCAGCCGTTATAAAGGTCATAAAGAGAGTTTAGGACAGCGTGTAGAATGGACCACTACTTTTGTCTGAAAAATACCAACATTACTTAACTTCTGCCTTTTTTTGCTGATTTCTTTGACGAATATAGCCAAATATCGTAGACAAGAAGATCGTATAGAAGAGTCTAAATTTGGGGATACAGAGGAGCCTCTTGCTTTTGGAGATGATCGCAAAATACGACGGAGTGCGTAAATATTGGGCAAATGCCCCTGGTGAAAATGCTAAGGGTAATGTCTGGGCAGTGCTCCGTCACATAATTTCAAAAGCGAAATCTTCCAAAATAGATTTGGACATAAGGGGGCTTCTAACATATTGTAGTGTTGTAGGGTATCACATGGTCGGCCCCGCACGACTATAGCCTTTGCTTACTTGTTATACCCTACAACACTTTGTGTTGGGGGTATTATAAGTTTGATTGGGCCAAAAATTATGTAACACCTCGAAATATTTATTTCCCACATAGGAAAGTATATATGGATCTTCCTATCTCGCCGAGCTGAGTCGATCTAGCTATGTATGTCCGTCCGTCCGTCTGTCCGTCTGTCCGTCTGTCCATGTTAATTTGTAATCACTCTACAGGTCGCAATTATGGCCCGATCTTCACGAAATTTAGAATGGAGTTGGGGTTAAGGTCAGAATAGAACCCTATTTCTTTTGGAGATGATCGCACAATATTTAGGAGTCGAAAAGGACCAACAACTGAAAAAAATCCTGATTTTGCAGTTGCTCTACAGGTCGCAATTATGGACCAATCGACGCGGAAATTAGCATGGGTCTAAATCTTCGGGCTGGGCAGAAGCCTTCCGATTTTGATGGTCATCGGGTAATATTTAGTGGGTGAAAAAGACTATAATATTTGTGATAAATAAAAGTCAAATTTCCATTATACCGCGAATATTTTTAGTCCCGGCGAAATCATAAATGGACGAACAGGTCAATTCTGACCGTTACGTAGATGCCGATAGTAAATATATGGGATATATATAGCGAAATATATACAATATGTATATACAAAGGAAAGGAATGTTAGATGGAATGCTTATATCTCAAGAATGGCTGGACCGATTTTGACAAATTTTGTCAATTCAGAATGCCCTCTTGACATAAAAGTATAAAATCTAAAAAAATAGCATAAAAATAAGTCAAAAATTATCTTAAAATAGATTTTTTAGTATTTTGTGACATTTTTTATTTTTTCATATTTTTTATCGCATGCGATTTTTTCAATTTGACTTATAATATTAAGGTATACATTTTGTAATATTTTTCCACCTTACAACACAGGTTTGGGATATTATATACAGATTGCAATTATCGTCCGATCCTCACGAAAAGGGTAGGGTTAGGCTCAGAAGGGTTAGGCCTATTGTTTTCAAAGATGTCCGCAATATATTTAGGGGTTGAAATGGACCAACAACTAAAAATGTTCCTGATTTTGCAGCCGTTATAAAGGTCATAAAGAGAGTTTAGGACAGCGTGTAGAATGGACCACTACTTTTGTCTGAAAAATACCAACATTACTTAACTTCTGCCTTTTTTTGCTGATTTCTTTGACGAATATAGCCAAATATCGTAGACAAGAAGATCGTATAGAAGAGTCTAAATTTGGGGATACAGAGGAGCCTCTTGCTTTTGGAGATGATCGCAAAATACGACGGAGTGCGTAAATATTGGGCAAATGCCCCTGGTGAAAATGCTAAGGGTAATGTCTGGGCAGTGCTCCGTCACATAATTTCAAAAGCGAAATCTTCCAAAATAGATTTGGACATAAGGGGGCTTCTAACATATTGTAGTGTTGTAGGGTATCACATGGTCGGCCCCGCACGACTATAGCCTTTGCTTACTTGTTTTATTTATGCAACCGTTTCTAGATTGAGTTAAAACTCTCAGCGGAATGGAAGTATATTTATTTTGTACTCGAATACCAATAACAATGGAAAAGCAAAACTTGGGAACGGACAAAGAGAGGTCTCATTGCACTGCACTCCTCTTCTACTCCTTCGTGAGTTGAATCTATGGAGATGCGCACCCTATGAACATACCTACACCCTGCAATGAGTTTGCCCTCAAATTGGTTTGAACAATATTAAAAGATTTACAGACTACATTTCTCTGGACCTAACCTTTAAAACAGGAGACACTGCAGCTATAGAATGTTTGTAAAACCCTTCCGCATGGATTATATCATTGTCAAGAGGTCTTCCAAGCGGAGACCTTTGCTGTTATAAACAGAGGAGTCATGACTGCAATTAAGACAATCAATAATTCAAATCCAATATAGTTAGCAAGTGTAGTTTTGTCTTGAAAGATAGAGGGAGGGTCATTATTTTTTATTGTGTAACGGCAATAATTTCACTATCGCGAGTGGTGTTAAACCACCAACCAACTTTCGGATTAGAGACATCGACTGATCTTTGCTACAATTCACTTCCTAAGATCCGTACATCCTGCTGATCTGGTCAACTTCTAATTGTTATGAAATATACCAGGAAGAGTTCCACCTCCATTTTCTGAACGTTAGCTTTTATGTATTTATATTTTATCTTTCTTCTTAATACTTTCAACAACCTTCCTCCCTTTTCCACTCAGCGCTTCTTCTCTTTCAGAATAAACGCAATCCACCATAGGTCTCCAAGTGAAGTGGCTGTTAACCAAAAAGGTAAATCTATGATATAACCTAATATAAAAAACGATATTTTCCTGATAGAAATAAAAGGGGACAGTTTACATAAAGGGACTTAAGAACAAAAATGAACTATATAAATGGCCACCTTCATCTTCATCTGGAGATCTCTACATTTTATTTATATAATCAGTTGGTCTATATTATCCATGATTTTAAGTCTTGTATCCTTTTTGTTTGCATTGATGTCAAGAGTATAGAGTTCTAGACGTATATACATATTACAATTATTTTCCTGAATGGCTGAACAAAGGTTGAATAGTAGTTAAACAAATGGAAAAGTTGAACATTCATTTGTATCTGTTCTTTATGTTGAATAAAATGTAATAGGCGCTCGCGGATATAAAATATGAGTGAAATCTTAAACGTAATACACTTACCGTTTACTTTGGGTTTGGCCAAAAAATAAGACAACATAGACATCTCAGGGGGGACAAATTGTTCGCGATAAGTTGGTCTGTCTTCTTTCATATTTGTGGAAGTACTATTTCCAGTAAAGTTTCCGAGTATTTTCATATTCAGTTTAACTCGTTGTTTTGTGATAGATGAAGTTACAGTATTCCATACACTGTTTTCGTCGGTCTGATCCTCTGTTGATATATTGTGCAATGAAGAAACCTGATTTTCACAAGTGGCTTTTCTTAACAATTTTTTCATGCCTCCGCCAAAAATTGTAGACCATGTTTCTACATTAAAATTATGAACGATCAATCGGTAGAGTATACGACTGTCACACGTAACAAGCGCATATGTTGCGAGAGACACGTACGTAGCAATAAAGCTTTCTAGTAACAAAACATTTAACTTGGGAATATCTTCATCTTTTTCTCTCGCCAACAAGGCCCTTAAATTAGCAACTCCAGGCCATCTTGAAGGCGTAGTACAAACAGTGTACGGCTCATCTGCCGAGTATAAACGTTTTCTATTGTAAATATTAGCATTTCCAATCAAATGGGAACACTCAAACGATGAATTAAGTTTGGCTATGTTTTCTATGCCAGGACTTTGATATCCATTTTGCGACGTATTATTCACAACAAAACTTTCAGAATCGCACAAAGATTGATAAATACAAGAGGATAACGCCACAGCAAGATCTCTTATAATAAATATCTCGCAAAAAGCATTGGTATCCAATCCAACAAAGGGTGAGCAATTTATAACACTGTGAAGCATATCTGTAGTTTGAGACTAGACATTTAATACAATAACAATTATTTATTAAATATTTCAAATAGAAATAAATATTTTCAAGAAGTAAAATAAATTTTTGTGTTTTTAATATAGATACCTGCAAGTATTTGATAGGATCTGCAATAACAGTTTTATTTCCTGCGACACATGCACTCAATAAAGGAAGGGTTGTTGGGAATGGCAATGGACTTAGTAGCTGCTGTTGAGTTTTTTCTTGTTGTAATTCTTGCAAAAGAAGAACGACTTCCATCCTTACCGAAGCTAAACCTCCTCCGCTGGCACCATGAAGAGAGCAATAACTAAGCAAAGTTCTAAGAAGAGTTTCGTTCGCTAAAAAAAGATTAAAATGCAAATTAAACGATGTCTGATAAAAACAAATAGTTTATATATGCACAAAAAATAATCGAATGTTGCAATGGCATGATTCACTTTAGTAGTGTTGGTTGGGAAATCTCTTGCTGAACGGTTCCGCAGTAGTCGAGACATACATTTTTAGTACTGAAGTTCTATAACAGTGTACTACACCTTATTATCCTCTAGAAGGGCTATGGAGAATTTTACTTTTTTCCCAGATCTTCTAATTCAAAAATTTTAATGTCGACGTAAAATCCTAAGCTAATACTTTACGTGGATATTAGTTAGCAGCAACAACTACTGCATAGAATTCCCTTTGATCCGTGCGCAGGGTAGCCTTTAATCTTTAAATACTTTGTTTAATAATCTAACATTGTACATTGATTTAATTTCGTCCAGTACATGCTGTAGTCTAAATGTACCTTACACACATTTCTGTGTATTTGACCTTTGCTTTTGCCAACACTGGCATTAGATGACAGCTCTTGACTCTTTTTGTTTACTTTTTTCTTCTTCGTTGTTAAATGTGCAATTGTTTCGGTCGTTCTTGGAGCGAACACCTCTCTACATCACAAAACCAATGGAAAGCAAAGACCACTTCCCTTATGTAGGAACAGATATTTTAAAACCACTTTAAAAAACTCCCATTAATCATTATTATATCTCTTACTTACTCCTATTTGTAATTGTGGTAACTGTATAAGATTGATGCGTTCCACCATAACTCCTCAGCAGTCTCCCTCGGCAGAGACCGTAGTAGAGTTTTATCTCATTGCTTTACCCCTTTCTTATTGGAATATTTGATTGTTGTAATAATCGACAATGTAATCCTCTGCGTTCACATGTCGTGTTTTACTTGAAATGTACAATTCCCGCGTATTGACATTTCGTCTCGCGTTAATACTAACCAAGCTTTTGAGGCCGCCCCAAATAACTAAGGCAATGTTATTGTTTAATAAAAAGAATGAATACACCAATAAAGGGTTGAACTATTAAGAGTTTGTTACTAATTAGTTGTTGATATGGAATTTCTAATATTTCTTTGATATCTGAATTTGGTTTTGGAGACATTTCTTTCGAAAGTTAAACATTCACATCTATTGATTTTGAAACAGGAAGACATTCCCCATATTAAATTTCTTCAATATTTCATCCAAATGGTCCAAATACTTAAGCTCATTCACTGCTTTATTGAGCTTAAAAATATGACCATCATTTATCTTTGGGGTACATTCAGTGTTTTCAATATATACATTTTCTTCAAATTCTCTTTGAAGGAAAACTGACACGGCATTCATTTGTTGTCATATTTTGACGCTTGGACCATAAACGAATTGGAGCAAACCTTACCACAGGTACAAATGTTTCTTAATAATCTTTTTTCTGTTTGTAGCCTTTTGCTACTAATCTGGCCATATATCGGATATTTTCCACAAGAGGCCAACAAAGATTTCATCTCGCTTTTCATAGCATCAATCCATTTCAGCTTTTCCGAACTTTTCATGGCATCCTCATATAAATGAGAATTTCTTCGTTGCTGTGGTTTTTGCTTCTTAAACCTATATCGATCGAACGATTTCGTAGAATATTACATCTCGGCAAACCAATATATTTTTACGATTCAAACTGTACGCGTGATATCTAAATTTGTGTTAGAATTGCCGACATATATACGCTTTGTTTACGAACATGACACATTGCCGTACATCGAAATATTTTGAAGCGACGTACATCAGAATATACCCAGGCCACATTTCTAATGGAGTCTTTCTTAACATCTTTTGTGGCGATATGCTTTATAATATAACTTGCATAATTTACGGCTTCCGCACAGAAGGTTTTTGGAACTCCTGCCTCAACACTGGTTATATTCAGCATTTAATTTGTGTAAACGATTTACTTTCTAAGCCATTCCTGTGAGGAAGCAAAACGACCCATGAAGTCACAATTAAATCACCGAGATTTTCTTTTTCTCTTGCTTTTTAACTACTTTTATTGACACAGTAAAATTAAATTTCTTCGAAATCAATGCCTTTCGCCAAATTTATCTTGCATCTGGCTTTGCGATCTTTGACGAATCAACCACAACAGAATTACATACAGGTTGTATGATTGACCACACTTCTTCCAGTTCCAGTTACATTTTCATAACGAAACTAGAATACTATTATTCCCCAGTTATGGCCCGGGCCTATAAAAACGTGTAAAAAAGCAGATCTCATGGTTTAAGTCTTTGTTCGTACAAGTATATTTTACAACTCTTTATTTCAACATATATAATAACTGCCACATTTTAAAACATTTGTATTGTGGAAATAATTATCTATCTTTTATATATATAAAACAAGTAAGCAAAGGCTATAGTCGTGCGGGGCCGACCATGTGATACCCTACAACACTACAATATGTTAGAAGCCCCCTTATGTCCAAATCTATTTTGGAAGATTTCGCTTTTGAAATTATGTGACGGAGCACTGCCCAGACATTACCCTTAGCATTTTCACCAGGGGCATTTGCCCAATATTTACGCACTCCGTCGTATTTTGCGATCATCTCCAAAAGCAAGAGGCTCCTCTGTATCCCCAAATTTAGACTCTTCTATACGATCTTCTTGTCTACGATATTTGGCTATATTCGTCAAAGAAATCAGCAAAAAAAGGCAGAAGTTAAGTAATGTTGGTATTTTTCAGACAAAAGTAGTGGTCCATTCTACACGCTGTCCTAAACTCTCTTTATGACCTTTATAACGGCTGCAAAATCAGGAACATTTTTAGTTGTTGGTCCATTTCAACCCCTAAATATATTGCGGACATCTTTGAAAACAATAGGCCTAACCCTTCTGAGCCTAACCCTACCCTTTTCGTGAGGATCGGACGATAATTGCAATCTGTATATAATATCCCAAACCTGTGTTGTAAGGTGGAAAAATATTACAAAATGTATACCTTAATATTATAAGTCAAATTGAAAAAATCGCATGCGATAAAAAATATGAAAAAATAAAAAATGTCACAAAATACTAAAAAATCTATTTTAAGATAATTTTTGACTTATTTTTATGCTATTTTTTTAGATTTTATACTTTTATGTCAAGAGGGCATTCTGAATTGACAAAATTTGTCAAAATCGGTCCAGCCATTCTTGAGATATAAGCATTCCATCTAACATTCCTTTCCTTTGTATATACATATTGTATATATTTCGCTATATATCCGATATATTTACTATCGGCATCTACGTAACGGTCAGAATTGACCTGTTCGTCCATTTATGATTTCGCCGGGACTAAAAATATTCGCGGTATAATGGAAATTTGACTTTTATTTATCACAAATATTATAGTCTTTTTCACCCACTAAATATTACCCGATGACCATCAAAATCGGAAGGCTTCTGCCCAGCCCGAAGATTTAGACCCATGCTAATTTCCGCGTCGATTGGTCCATAATTGCGACCTGTAGAGCAACTGCAAAATCAGGATTTTTTTCAGTTTTTGGTCCTTTTCGACTCCTAAATATTGTGCGATCATCTCCAAAAGAAATAGGGTTCTATTCTGACCTTAACCCCAACTCCATTCTAAATTTCGTGAAGATCGGGCCATAATTGCGACCTGTAGAGTGATTACAAATTAACATGGACAGACGGACAGACGGACGGACGGACATACATAGCTAGATCGACTCAGCTCGGCGAGATAGGAAGATCCATATATACTTTCCTATGTGGGAAATAAATATTTCGAGGTGTTACATAATTTTTGGCCCAATCAAACTTATAATACCCCCAACACAAAGTGTTGTAGGGTATAATAAATTTGTGTTAGTTACTACGCTTATAACTCAAGAACCGCTGTTCTGATTTTAACGATTTAGACAAATTCGGAATGGTCTCTTGACGGAAAAGGATAAGGATACAATAGTAGTGTTTTTTCCATTTTGACTGACTATTTTCGAATGTACATATTTTTTTAAATTTTATAATGATGTGTATTCTTTTTGAGGAGCATAAAGCGTCAAGGGACCAAATTGTTATGTATATATATATATATATATATATATATATATATATATATATATATATATATATACATAACAATTTGGTCCCTTGACGCTTTATGCTCCTCAAAAAGAATACACATCATTATAAAATTTAAAAAAATATGTACATTCGAAAACTGAATAGATGATGTGGAAATAATTTATTGCCGTCAAACCAAACATAAAGGATAATTACTTTTTTAAAATTGCTAAAAAATCACGAAAAAGAATCTCATTGCAAAAATTCTAAAATGGGGGAAAAAATCAATACATTTTTCAATGGGATTGAATTTTAAAATAAAAGTACATTCTATTGACAAACATCGTAAGGACCATTAAACATTTGCTCTAAAAAATCAGCGAACAAGTTGAAGATTTTATTATAACTCAACGGGATGACAGATTTTAACATTCATTAATATTGGTTGGGAACGTAGATTTGGGATGTACGTCTATATATACGTCTGAATTTTATGCAGATGATACGTTTTGCGTTCTAAAATTTATATTTCGAGTTGTTACAAACGGAATGGCAAACTTAATATACCCTCCATACTATAGTGGAGGGTATAAAAATTAATTCCATTCTTAGGGTAATGGGTGTAAAAGAGTAATTTTCTTTGGATCTGCCCCTAACTATGAGGTGGACAAAACTTAGTACCATGCAGCACGACATTCTAAACGTGGGAAATACAAATTTCAAATTACAGCTAATTTAAATGGAAAATGTTTGCTAAGCTCTTTACAATACAGACGGACGGACATCACTAAATCGACACAGAATTTTATGCTGATCAAGAATATATATATACTTTGTGGGGTTTAAAATGTGTATTTCGAGTTGTTACAAATGGAATGACAAACTTAATATACCCTCCATACTATAGTGGAGGGTATAAAAAATTAATTCCATTCTTACGGTAATGGGTGTAAAAGAGC